GGGCGGGGAGTGAGGGGGAGGCAGCGGAGGGCACAGTTGGTAGGTGTAGGCTTCCCCGACCAGTTGTCCCCACAGCTGTCTCTGGCTTCAGCCCTGACACTGAGATACTGAGACACTGGGGGGTGGGGCTGGGAGTGGGGGCAACGGGCACAACCCAAACAAGAGCAAGTGTCAGATTCCTGAAGGCCGGGGCAAGTGGCAGCCGAAGGCATCGATTGTGGGAAGGCCATCAGGGGCCCTGGTAGGAATTACTGTCTCTCGTTTCTCCTGGGCTCAAATGCTGCTCAACCCCAGGGTTTAGCTGTACCTCCTTCTTTTCCTTTGAATCAGAGTGTGGAGGGGGGAGAGGGGCAGAGATAACACCAGGAGGCTCCCTCAAGTGAGGGCTGGGGCCCAGGTGTACCCAAAGGCCTCCCTGGAAAGGGTACATCCTGCCCGGCCAGTGTGGCTCAGTGGTTGAGCATCATCCTATGAACCAGGAAGTCACGGTTTGATGCCCGGTCAGGGCACATGCCCGGGTTGGGTTGTGGGCTTGATCTCCAGTGGGAGGCATGCAGGAGGCAGCCGATCAATGATTCTCTCCCATCACCGATGTTTCTATTTCTCTCTTCCTTTCTGATATATATCTTTTTTTTTTTTTTTTTAAGGGCATATCCTTCCTCAGCTTCAGGTAGACAATTCCCATGACAAGTCCCCAAACAGAATTCATTAGCCTCCTGATCCATGGCCTGGCAAGGTCGGTCCTGGGTCATTCAGGCTGGGGCAAAGGCTGTTATTAAGTGTTAACAGGCTCTGACATAAGGGAACCAAGATGGCGGCATAGGCAAATGCCACCTCCCACAACCACATCAAAACTACAGCTAAAATACAGAACAACCATCATTCAGAACCGCCTGAAATCTGGCTGAATGGAAGTCCTACAAATAGAAAAGTAAAGAAGAAAGCACACTTATACAGAAACTTTGCAGGCCAGAAGGGAATGGCAAGAAATATTCACAGTGATGAATAGCAAGGGCTTACAACCAAGATTACTCTACCCAGCAAAGCTATCATTTAGAAAAAGTCAGATAAAGAGCTTCACAGATAAGAAAAAGCTAAAGCGTTCATCACCAATAACCTAGTACTACATGAAATGTTGAAAGGTGTTCTTTAAGAAGAGGAAGAAGAAAGAAGAAAGAAGAAAAAGAAAAAATATGAACAATAAAATGGCAATAAATACATATCTATCAACAGTTGAATCTAAAAATAAATGGACAAGAAATCCAATGAACAAAATAAACTGATGTATAACATAGAATCAGAGGCAGGAAAACATGGAACAGACTGACGAATCTCAGAGGGAAGGGGGGTTGGGTGCTGGGAAGAGATTAACCAAAGACCTTACATACACGTATGCATTACCTATGGACACGCAGACAATAGGATGGTGAAGGCCTGGGGTGGAGCGGGAGGGAGCCGGGCGGAGGGGGGTTATGGGGGAGGGGGATACCTATAATACTCTCAATAAAGTGCTAACAGGTCCTGGCAGAATAGCAGAGCATTGAGCGCCCAGAGCAAAATCTCCAGACTCCGCCCCATTCCCCTCTCCTGACCCTCCACCTGTCCCCTAAGCTAGAGCAGTGAGGTTGAATGGTGTGATCACTCAGCTAGCAGTCAGACCTGCACTTGTGCTCACGCCCTAACGTGTCCCTCCCCTGCTGTGCGACCCGGAGCCTCTCCGGCCTTTGCTATTCTTGTCCTGAGGAGAGAGCTCTGGTGACCACGAGCCCACACCTCCCTGCCGGTCCCCGCTGAGGTGGGCAATCCAGGAAGTTGTCGGTGCACAGGCCTCGTCCGGATGGAAGAAGCACTTCTGCTTTGCGGGCCTGGGATATCCCCCCGTCTGACTCAGCCTTCCTCCTCCAGTTCCGCTTGGGAAGGCTCGGACCGCGGCACTGGCCTGCAAACCGCGGCTCAGAACTCTAGAACCACACTGTCTGCCCGGGGCCCTGCTTCCAGACCACCACCGGAGGCCCGAGGGAGAAGGCAGGAAGGGGCCCAGGAGGTTGTGGGGAGTAGGAGCAGGAGGTTGGGATGGAGATGCAGACATTCAGGCCCCCATCGCTCCCTTGGAGACATCTGCCGTCTCCACCCGGTCTGCTGTCTCTTGTAAAGCCACCGGGATGGGAGAGGGGGGGGGCGGCATATGAGTCATCCACCCAGCTGTCCCGCCTAGGGTGGGGCCCAGCTCCCAGTCTGGACCCAGGCAGGCCTTCCCTGGTGCTTTCAATCTCCTTCTCCCTGGACTCAGGCTCCAGAGGAGAAGGACATGTGCATGTGTGTTGGAGGGGAAGGAGGAGAGGAGAGTTTCTGCTTGGAGCCCAGAACCCAACTCGACAGGAGAAGCCTCGGACGCCTGGGGGAGAGCCCCGGGATCGTACAGGTGGCTCTGCCTCCCAGCCCAAAGCCCGACCCTGAACTCTGAGCTCTCATTAAACATTAAACCGGGCAACACCATCTCTTTGGGCTCCGGTGGGAGCGGTCAGGACAATGCCTTTCCCCCTCGCCCAAATCGTCACGGACGCTTCTCTACCTCAACCTGAGAGCAGCAGACGCAAAAGGGAGCAACACATCCCAGCTCCTCCCGCTGGGGACATAGGAGGGGACTGTCCCCCCCCCCCCCCCCAGACCCTTTGTCTCCGCCCCGCTGTCCGCCAGCCTGGGATCCAGATGTGCAAACCCACCCCCCTTTCCCGGAAGCCCAGGCGGGATCCGTGGGCGAGAAGGGAGTCAGGTGGCTAAATATAACAAGCTCACACACCACCCCCACCCTGCCCCACGTGTGCACGCCTCCCGCTGGCGGCCGGCGGACAGCTGCCGCAGGAGGCAGGGGAAGCAGCCTGGGTTAGCATGAACTCCCCCTGTCCCGCTTCCCCCTCAGCGTCCACCCCAGAAGGGCCGCAGACATGCCCTTCGCAGGGGCCCGCCATGGGGGCTGTGGTGGTGGCGTGGACACACACCAACCTCCTCCAGGACCCCTGTCTCTCCTGCCAACGCAGTGGTCGGCAAACTCATTCGTCCGCAGAGCCAAATGCCAACAGGACAGCAACTGAAATTTCTTTGGAGAGCCACGTTTTACACTAAACGTCTCCTAACGGCACTTCTTCAACATAGACTCGCCCCGGCCGTGGTATTCTGTGGAAGAGCCACACTCAAGGGGCCAAAGAGCCGCATATGGCCCGCGAGCCGCAGTTTGCCGACCACGGTGCTAACTAAACAGCTCAAATCTCTAGTGAAAAAACAAAACAAAACAAAACAAAAACAACAACCAGGAGGGATCCCTTTCCACAGAAATAAAACTCAGCCTCTCTCTCCACTCAACTCCCACCTGCTCTTCACAAGAGGATGGGTCTGCCGTTTCCACCGTCCTGGGACTGGGGCTAGTAAAGTGGCGGGAAGAATACAGAACGGGAAGAGAATAAGGAGCAAGAGTTTGGAGACGATGCAAAGGGAGAGAAGGAGGGGAACTCACACCATAGTGTCGTGTCGTCCCCCCCCCCCCCTGCTCTAAGCACAGGTATCTTCAAGCACCTTTAGGGCTCTCTTTCCCTCTCTTTTTAAGTTTTTATAGAGAGAAAGGAAGGGAGAGGAAGAGGAATGAGAAACATCAATGTGAGCGCAAAACATGGGTCAGCTGCCTCCTGCACTTGGCCTCCTGGGGCCAGAGCTGAAACGCGGGCGTGTGCCCTGACCTGGAATCTAACCCGCCACCTTCGGCGCACAGGACACCACCCAGCCCCGTGAGTCACACTGTCCGGCTCTTCAGTCCGAGCCTTCAGCGAGGACAGGGCAGCGAGAGGAGGAAACCAAATTCCTGGGGGCTGAAAGACGGCCTGAACCTCCAGGTTCCAAAGGCCTTTTGAGAAAAGAGGGTGGAGTAAAGTGGGGTGGGGTGGGGTGGGGCTGGGATGGGTCCGGGTAGGAGTGGCCTGAAGCTCCCAACGGCTGGATTTCAAAAATGTCACTGTATTCCAGCCGCCATGTATTAAGGCAGAGGTCCAAAAAGGCAGCGGCTGCGAGTTCCGGCCAAAGCAAAGACGGCTCGGACCGGCTCGGCTGGGAAAATGAAAGTGGCTCACCCACCGAGGGAGGCAGAGAGGGACACAGCCCTGAACCAGACCAGACAGCGGGCAGAGCGGCCCGGGAGGCTGGAGGAGCCATCAGACCTGGGCATAACACAACTTCCTGAGGTGGAGCCTCTGCCCTCCGCTCCCTCCCTCCCTCCCTCCCTCCCTCCCTCGCATTCCAGGCCGAGCAGGCCGAGGGCTGTGGGAGCTGCGGGGGAGAGCTGCCCGGTGGGCCTGTCAGGGCCCAGGGAAAGTCCCAGACACGCACGCAGGAAGGAAGGTAACTTCCCAGCTTAGAAAGAACCTCAGGAGGGGTCAGTGCCGGAGAGGGTTATTCCCTCCCTCCCCCCACATACCCCAGCAGGGGCAAAAGGGGTCCCTCTGCCTTCGTGACCTCTCCCCAGCACCACTGGACACCTGCCAGCCTGGGAGTTCCGTCTTAATGGTCATCATGCGTTTGCAGGCCAGTCTGGGCAGACCTGGCGCTGTGCCAAGCCTGCCAAGAAAGTTCTCACAGGCCCCTTTCACCCACTCCCGTGTGCCCCGCGGCGCCCAGACTGCCCAGACGGGGCAGGGCTAGTTCTGCTTTGCTCAAGCCCCTACCCCAGGCTCCAGGCGACTGGAAACCTACCCCTGATTGCATGCGGGCCTGCCACCACGTCCCTAACGTGGCCCTGAGGTCCCCACCATTCCTTATATATATATACCCCACCCTCTCCCCGAGACCCCTCCCTTATCTGTCCCATCCAGGCGACTTCCCTTGGCACCGCCAGGCGCCCGCGGGGGGTGCCAGTTCGGAGGGAGGAGACTCTGTGGCATCGTTATCAGCCGCCTGGGGCCGGGCAGGGGTGACCAGTCGGCATGGCCCGCGGGCCGCCACCTGGGCGCACTCACCGCGCTTTGAGCTCCTTGAACTCCTCGCGCACTTTGCTCAGCTCCAGCTGCAGGCGGGCGCGCTCCTTGGCCACCGAGTCGAGGGTCTTGCGGGCATCGCCGAGCTCGGCCTCGTAGGCGGCCTTGATGCCGGACACCTCGCGGCTGACCACCTCCTCGGACTCGGTGATGCGGAGGCGCAGGCCCGCGTTCTCCGTCTCCAGCGAGCGCACGCGGTCGATGTAGACGGCCAGCCGGTCGTTGAGCTCCTGCAGGTCCTCCTTCTCCTGCAGCCGGGTGATGCGGGTGGGCGACAGCGGCGTGGAGCCGGCCTGCGCCCCGCTGCGGGTGGCGCGCCGCTGGGACGGGGTCTCCATGGCCGGCAGGGTGGCAGCGCTGCCCGCGGGGCAGGGGTCCCGGGCCGGGCGCGGCGGAGGCTGGAGGCGGCGGCTGGGGTCGGAGCGCGGCGGCCGGCGGCGGCGGGCTCCGGCGCGGCTCGCTCCTGGCGGACTGGAGAGCGGGCTGGGCGCTGTCAAGCGCGGGGCGCGGGGTGGCTGGAGAGGCGGCGGCGCTCCCGCGGACACTGAGTCACCGGTGCCCGGGCCGAGGCTCTAATAGGTCCTGGGAACGGGGGGAGGAGCCACGCTTTTAAAGGGGCCGTCGCCGTCCCACAGCGGCGGGGGCGGGAGGGGTGAACGGGGAGGGGGAAAGGGCCGCCCAGCCTTGGCGGAGTCGCGCCCCGCCCTCCCTCCCACCGCCCCCCCCCGCGCACCCCACTGTGCCAGGAGCTTGGCTGAAGCTCCCGTCTTGGTTCCTCAACCCTCCTCCTACAGTCTCAGGCCTGAGGGGTAGAGGGCAGAGCCAAGGGGTGAGAGTGGGTGGGTGAAGGGCAGTGGGGAGAGGGGAGAAAGTGGGTGTAAAGCAAGGGAGGGCGCCAGGCAGGCAGATCCAGGAAAGAGGGGTGGGGGGTGGGGAACAGAGGCTGGTGCCCATTGGGGTGACTCACTCTTCTTCCACCACCCGTCCCCCCCCCCCCATAGTAATAGTGAGTCACCCCTGCCCCCCTCCACACGTGGGCAGTCCATTCAAAGCTGCATCTCAGTATGCCAGGATGGGGTGGGGAAGGAATGCCTAGGCCCTGGGGGGAGTTGGGGGAAGCCAAACAAAGTCCTATGCTGAGTTCCTTTTACGCCCTCAGTTTTGGGGTGGGGACCAAGAGTTTGGGGTCCCTCTTTGCCCATTTTTTGCCCCAATTAATCTCCCTTCCAAACCGACCAGTGCAACAAGCCACAACCCTCCTACCCCCCAGAAAAGGCCCAAGTAACCAGCCACAGATCTGCAGAGAAGGCCAAGAATAAGACCCAGGCACTCCCCCTCCAACCCCAGCCCCCTTCCTTTGGCTGCAAGCAATTGGAAAAATAGGTTCTCCCCCCCACCCCCCTTCAGTCCCTTCCCACTGCTAACCCCACCCTGCTAACTGCAGGATCGTACTTATTTTAATGGATAATTTAAAACAGATACCAAAGCTGAGTGCACACTCATCATGTTGCCAGGACACCGGGTCCCAGATTTTTGCGGTTCCCCAAGGGGCCTGTGATGGGGAGAAGGCAGGGAGCTGAACAGCCAAGGAGATGCCTCCATCTTGGCTGCAGTCAGAATGGGGTCGCGGAGGACAGGGACAGCAGAGCCCCCCACAGCCTTGCCAGCAAGGCACTGATCTCTGCACCCTTCTCTGGCCCCGCCTGCTCTGCAGCAGGCGCTGGGGAGGGGCCAGGTCCTCTCACAAAACAGGATCATCCGGGTTCCTGGCTTTCCACCCCAAGCGCTAAGGGACTCCAGCCTCCAGCCTCACCGAGGACCTCTTTGATCAGTCCTTCCACTCCTGTGTCCCCTAACTCTGGCCCTGGCCCCACCGGCCACCTCCTCTTCTCTAAGAGGTGGAGAACTGAGGTTCTGGCACCCACGGGTGCCCTCCCCCTGAGAAACCTGGTACATTAAATTACGTTGCTAACTCCTACAGCCCCAGGACATCCGGGTTCCTGTCATAATATGCAAGGGAAGCACACTGGACAGGCCCTCCGTTCCGGATTCTGGAGTTGGCCTCAGATGGAGAAGGGGTTGGAGTGGAACTAAGGCAGGGACTCGGTGTTCAGAGGGGGGCACCTGGGAGGGAGCAGATGCTGGGGTTCCCCGCTCTCGGAGGGCACTGGGCAGTGTGGTGAGCACCCAGATGAGGACCCAGGCGGGATATGGCTTCCCCTCCCTGCATCCCTCTCCCCCGGAGAGCCGCCCCATGCTTGGCTTCCCGAGAAGACAAAAAGTCTTGTTCTGCTTCTCCCTCTTCTGTTCCCCAAACCAGGCGTGGAGGAGGGGCGGTGAGCCAGCACCCCTTGGCCACCCACCCCTCTGCCCCACCCAGTCCCCGCCTGGTCTGGCTTCTCCTCCTGGCTGGGGAAGCAAAGCCACACTTAACTTTTCCTATCCTAGACTTCCCTGCCTTTGGGGAAAAGAGGCCGGAGAAAGGAGAGGGGAATCTCACCCCAAACTTCACGCCAGACTTTCCAAAGAGCCTCCTGCCTCACCACCACCAAAACGGCCTCAATCCTAAACCTGAATTTCAAAGCGGGCCTGCATCCTAAACAGTCAATCCTAACACTGGACCCCGAGGGCCCTCAGCCGGCTCTCCTCCTGCCAGGGCATAGATCCCAGGCTCCGAAGAAGCAGGAGAAAGCCAGGAGGCCAGCCGGGCCTGAGGAGCAGAGTCTCCGGGGTGAGAGGGATGGAAGTTGTGACTGGGTGGGGACCAGGTTCCAGTCCTGCCTCTCACTCACTTGCTGGGTGATGACAGTTCTCCTGGATTAACTAGGCCCACGTTTCCTCATCTGGGCAGAGCGGCTATGAAGACATGGGGATGGAGCCCTGACTGGGTGGCTCAGTTAGTTGCAGCATCGTCCTGTGCACCAAAAGGTTTCAGGTTTGGCCCTAGCGTGTCGGTCCATGGGCAGAAGGTCCCCGTTCAATTCCGCTCAAGGGCATGTTCCTCGGCTGCAGGTTCCCCTATCCAGGAGGCATTCCAGAGGCGGACTAATTAGGATTGTACAGGGAGAGTTTATGAGGCACTAGGTATCCGCATTACCTTGCTGGTCCTACACAATAGCTCTCCGAGGCAGAACCTAGCATTAGGCCCATTTTACAGATGAGGAAACAGAGCCTGGGGAGGTTAAGGCACGCATGGAAGGCAGGGTGTTTCCACTTTGGCAATCTTGACATTATGAGCCAGAGAATGCTTTGTCGTTGGGGGAGGAGCTATGCATCATGGGATGTTTTGCAGCATCCCTGGCCTTTGCCCACTCAGTGCCAGTAACACCTCTGCCCCTAAGTTGTGACAATCAAAGAAGTCTTTATCAGACATTGCCAAGTGTCCCCTGGGAGACAAAATCTGCCCCCCCCTCCCCCCCCCGTTGAGAACACTTGTCTAAGGTCACAGGTTTTGCAGCAGACCTGGAATTTTAATACAGGCTGGCCTGACTGGATGCCAAGATCTTACCATTAGGCTATCATCTGGGAAAGAGCATTCAAACGCATCCCTAGGCCATGGGGGAGATGGTTACACGCCCAGAGAGGTGGAAGGGTGGTCTCTGGAGGAGGATCTAGGAAGTGGAGGTGTTTTGTAGAGTTAAGGCCATGATTTGGGAATCCCTTCTCAGAGGGTCCCTGCCTTGTTCAACCTTTGATCATAGTGTCTGGTGCTAAACAAGTCTTTTACTTATTTATTTATTTATTAGATTTTATTGATTTTTCTAGAGAGAGGAAGGGAGAGGGATAGAGAGTTAGAAACATCGATCAGCTGCCTCCTGCAAACTCCCTTGTGGGAGATGTACCCGCACCAAGGTACATGCCCTTGACTGGAATCGAACCTAGGACCCTTCAGTCTGCAGATCACCACTCTATCCACTGAGCCAAACCGGTCAGGGCGCTAAACAATTCTTCAGCTGCTGAATCACTCATGCCTCCTGCACAGGTGATGGTTATAACCTTGAGAGCCTAAGGTCTGGCCTGTTCTTTAAGTGGTTGCCAGGTACTAGAGTCTATAGTAACTAGACCATGGGCTAGGAGCTATTGGGAGGTGATCCCATTTAACCTTCACCTCAGCCTTACCAGGCGGGGATTGTTATCTGCATTTTGTTCGCCAAGAACCCAGAACTCCAAGAGGCTGAGTAACCGGCCTGAGGTAGCACAGCTGAGCAGGCTGCCTTCTTTCCGCCCAGACTCAGCAAGAAGTAACGCAGGCTCGGAGTGGACTGGCTCCATTCAGTTTAGTGGGAAAGGCTCTTATCTTAGAGGGAGTGGCTGACAGCCATCGGTGAAGCCACAGCACCCCTCATCTGAGCGAAATCTCACCCAGACAGCCCAACACACTAAATGACAGAGGCAAAGTCCACTAGGGAGGTTCGGGGGCCTTGCCTGGTGATCTTTGACCCTCCCCCAGGAGGCTCCCTCTTTTCCCAAGGGGACTCCTGAGGCCGGAGGAGCAAAGATTTGCCCAAGGTCACCCAGCCAGGACCGCCAAGGAGCTTTGACCCCTTGTCCCAGGAGACAGGACATCACTCGGGACAGGTCTGAGGGGGCTGATTCATCTTAAGGGACCGGAATTAACGCTCCTGTGCTGTGGGGAGGCCGGTGCGCAGCCCGAGCTGGCTGTCTTCCCTCACCGCCCAGCCAGGCCGGAAATAGCCGGGCAACACCTCACACCTGGCCGGTCTCCCTGGCGACAGCCCTTTCACAATCACCTGAAGCCTCTGCAGCCTCTCTGGGTGCACAGCGCAGGCGCCATCCTCCCCATCCTACAGACGGGGAAACTGAGGTCCGGGCGGGTGGACCGATTTGCTCAAGGCCACACAGCTGCCCCCCCCCCCCGAACCCCAGAAGAACCACACCGGGGAGACCGATCCCAGAGCAAACTCCTGGCGCTCCTTCCCACGCCCCGAACCGCCTCCCCCCGCAGTTATTGGGTAACAGGTGCCGCACGACGCGGGCATGTAGCCTGGTGCCCCCAATCCCCACCCCGCCCCCGCGTGAGTCGCCCCTTCTTCTCCCCTCCCCCCCCCCCCGTGGGATGAGGCGGGGGAGGGGAAGGGGGAGGTGCGGGCCCGGAGAGCGGGGCGGGGCCATGAGGGGCCGGCGCCCAGCCCCGCCGCCCGCCCGGCTGTCCCGCCCCCGCCCGGCCCGCGGGCGGCGCTCCCGGCGCTGACGCAGGCGCTGCGTGTGGGCGGCGGGCTGCCCGGGCGCTGCGTGTGTGTGTGTGTGTGTGTGTGTGTGTGTGTGTGTGTGTGTCCGTGAGTCTGTGTCCGTTTGTGTGTGCGCGTGTCTCTATGTGTGTCTGTGTATGTTTCTGTGTGTCTCTGTGTGTGTGTGTCTGTGTGTGTGTGTGTCTCTGTGTGTGTCTCTGTGTGTGTGTGTGGTTGCTGGGGCCGCCTAAATAGGGATTTCCTCTCCCTGTTGCCAAGGAAACAAACAGAAGCGCCACAACTCTAGGAAAGGGGCAGGAGGAAAAGGGGGCCCCCAAGTCCCACGCCCCTGGGGCAC